TATAAAAATAAACAGCAAAATGGTGAATGTATAAAAGGTATTAACACTCAAGACAGCTCTGGGTGGAAAGGGTTAAAAGTTCAAAACTTTCTCACCTTAGAGGTTTCCATACAATATGAAGAAAATACATAGTGAGGTTTGCTTTCACAGCATTGATGTGTGCAGAGTGGTTAAAAAAGTGAAACATGGGCACTTATACAATGTTTTACAAAAAACATCAAAGAGAAATAACAAACAATAACAATTTCAGGCAACAAGACCACAGGATAGCAAGTTAACAAACTTTTTAACCTCTTTTTTTCTTTAAATATTAGGGATTTATACAAAACACATAATAAAATACCCATGTTATCAAATTACTTCACACAAGAAACACACTGAAGCTCTAGGAAGAAAGTACCTTTGGAATTTGGCACTATAGTTTCACTGATTTTTTTTTTCTTTAAAAGAAAAACCGATCACATTTTGCTGAACACAAACACATCTAAATTGTTCACAATAAAAAAATGACATCAATGCGTCACAAGCCAACACAAACTTATTCTGGAATATTTTTTCATTTTTCACATGAAATTTTTATTTTTTTTTAATAAGCAAACAACTTTTTTTTGTGTTTTTTTTTGAATCTTGTTTTTGTTCTTGTTGTTCAAGTAAACCAATTTTCAACTCGTCTTTTATAAACATAGAACACTTAAGACCATAAGACTCATGATGAAACCACAACTTAATTCACAGAAGCACCAACGTAACACATTTTACAGTAACCTTTCTTCTGTACATTGAAACAGTATAAAATATAGGTAATTTCATGTGCATTAAACCATGGATTGTCTAACTGTGAGTCAGTTCAGCAAAAGGTGACACAAGTAGGTAGCATTTGCCCTAAAACAGGGTAAATATTTTCTTATACTAATCTACAAAAAGTGGTTCTATATATATACTTTAATGAGAAAGTGAGCCACCTAAAATGGCCTTATCAAAAAACTTTACACTGCCTGAAAAATGTAAAAACTATTACAGACCTCTAGAGACTTAAAATCAGACAGTTTTATTTCTCAAACTGTTTTGGAAGTAGTCTGTTAGAAACCAACATTCTGTGCCTCTGGACACATATTGCTATTGTCACCAGTGACCAGGCAGAATGCCAATCCCTGTATAATACTTTCAAGTCTGTTTTTTTTTTTTATTTTTTTTTTTACGAAATGAAAAAAGAAAAAACCAAAACCAAAAACCAACCAAAAAAAATAACCCCAAACCAAAAAAAACCCAAACAGACAAACAAAAAAAACAACTCAAAGGAAAGAAGAAAATCGAAAACCAAAAGAAAAAAACCAACAAAAAAAAAGGAAAGAAAGAAAAAACATTTTGCCACAGGTTGTTTTTAAATCCTATCATTAATTTATCTAATAATAAATTTCAGTCTTGCATGAATGCAGCAATGTTTTTTCACATTGACTTCCCAGAATTCATAGCTAGATGAGGTCACATGCAAATTTCAAAGGTCAAACTAGGTCAGTAGGAGAACCAAATATGATGTGAGGTCAGAAAGACATCAGAAACAATGACGGGACGATGAAACTGTTTTTTTTTTTTTGAGACGCCACAGGGACATGCTAGGCAAACGATGGGCTAACGGGCATGGAGATGTCTAGGGAAAAAACAAGGAAGAGGAAAAAAAGTTACACAGAATCTATGCAGCACAAACAAAATCACTTTTATGGGTGCAGGAGAAAAACTAATGCAAATCTTTTCTCAGCAGAGTCTACGGAGCCGTTCGCATCATTTGCATTAACTTACAATACTTGTCAACAAGAGCACAATGAACCCCAAAAGAATCCATCAGAAAGGAGTCAGAATGGATTCCTCTTTGGGGAGAGAGGAGAGGAAAGGACCAGTTTCTACAAGGTGACAGAGAGGTACGGGGAAGGGGCAGGAGAAGGTCAGACAACCAAACTTTAAACTAGGTAATGGAAACTACGAACAAAATAACCAGACAAATACAAACAGGAGGATAAAAGCATGAACTGCAAAGGGTGGAGGGTTCAACAGTGAAAAATGCCCATTCTTGGCACGATTACTCTAGAGACTACTTCAAAGGATCTAGCTAGCATAGAGAGCTGCTCTTTAGGTATCCAATAAGTTAACAATAGGCAATAAATAAATTCCATTATTTCTGAGGCAGTAAAAATTTTGTATAAAAATAGAAATGCTTTTTACAAATAAAATTTACAGGCCTGTGGCTTTCTTTTTTTTTATTATTATTATTAAATTTATCTCTCAAGAAACATCAAGTATTGTCACTCATTTTATTTTATTTTTTTTTATTTTAAACCCTGTAGCTTTAGAAACAGATCTCTAAATCTTTTTTTTTTTACATTAATCCTTTCCAAAAAAACCAAGAACTTAAAAAAATGAAATATAAAGACGACCAGTGTAAAATCAGACTAATATATAACAATACGTTGGTTTGAACTGAAAATAAAAAAAAAAAATCAAATCTTCTCGAAAAACAAGTTGATGTAGTGGAAAGACTTGTTTCAATTTTTGTTGCAAAATAAGTGCTTCAACTGGCATGAGGCCATTTTGTTTAACCTATAAACTGCTGGTGCCACCCTGGTAAAATACGATCCATCCATAGAAAACAACTTTTATTGTGTGCTAATGGCACCAGGGTTCACAGAGTTAAATTGCACATTTTTTTTTTTTGTGTGTGTGTGCTGTTTTTGAATTTCAAGACGTTTATTTTTGTTTTAAAAAGGAGATAAATTATGCTGCAAAACAAAATACAGTAACACAACTCAGTAATTACTTGGCAAGGAAATGGGAGCCAAGTGTAATAAGGACAAGTGGGGAAATGGAAGTGGTAACTGTAAAAATAACTGTCTCTTGGTGAAGGTTGGCTCTATGTTCTTTCTTAACCCCCCTGCAGAGGACAGGTTTGCTCATGGGACTTACCCTAAGAAAGCTAAAATAAGAGCAGTAAGCATCTGGGGTTAAGATCAGTAAGGTTTGCTGTCATTTTTGGAGCGTTTCAGCTGAACCTTCAAGCGTTTCATGCCAATCTGAAAGCCGTTCATAGCCTGGATAGCAGCTTGTGCAGAGACTGGATTGTCATAGCTAACAAAACCTGGGAGACAAACAACAGAGGTGGGAGAGAAAGCGAACTAGAGGTTAGAACAAATGTCACAAGGCATTTTGTTAGGATTTTATTATTACTATTTCTTTGACACATTTACTTCACTTTCAATTAGTTCTTTCGTCACATTTCATATCCTCTTTCCTTTGCCTTCCCCTTTACTTTCATAGTATTTCTTTACAAGCTGGGATGCAGTTGGCCAGTTTTGGTGCAATGCAGTTTCCAGTCTGTTATCTATCTATCTATCTATCTATCTATCTATCTATCTATCTATCTATCTATCTATCTATCTATCTATCTATCTATCTACCTACCTACCTACCTACCTACCTACCTACGAGACTGAAGATATTTACTACTGTGATACTTTTCAGTGTAGTACCTACATACCCCCAGTCTATTAGGAAGCACTACTAGGCTGCAGATGGGAAACTGAAGCAGAAGGCCTGGTTACAGACACAAACCCCAAACTGCCTATACCCATTGGCACACCTGGATGTGAGTTCATGTGTGCTATGGAACATTCATCTCCTTGGGCTTGGACTGGGACAGCTGCAATACTAATAGTTTGCATTTTTACAGCTCCTTCCAGTTCAAGATCTCAAGGTACATAAATGTTAGTTAATTCAGCCTCTTGGTCCCCAAAGGGCTACACAAGCATCAAAATTAAGCAGCATCATAAAGACAATGGCAGGGCTTGATGTGAACTCCAGATCTTCTGCTCCTCAGTTGTGAGCACTAACTAGGGGGATAATGCTTGCCCGGGTAATTCAGAATGGCTGGCCTGGCTCAGCTTTCTTTTCCCTGAGAGACTAAAACTGCTCTGTTCATAATGTACTCAAATCTCCCTGATTCTTGAAGCTCAAAATTCATTTTCATATCTGGGCCTCCCACTTGTAATTGCAAAGCTTGCCTAACTGCTGCTCTGCCTCGGCTCCAGCTAATTACTACTGTTCTCAGCCTGCTGTTATGCATCTGCTTTGAAATGCTCCCTCTTCTTTCCACTTGAATTTTCCTTAACACGTATCCCTTCACTCCTAAAGAATGGATGCCACACGCTTTGTCTTTAGTCCAAACATACAGGCTTCTCAGTGCCTCTCTTCCATCAGCTTTATTCATTTGAGCTTAGTGTCTGTGTACTTTTTGGATTCATAACCTCTTTTACCATTACATTAACCTGTTCTTTTATGGCCCTTGCTTACCTTGCACTGCTGCCCTCTTCCAATTGCAGAGTCAGAATGTTACACTTCCCCCGTTGCAAAGAATAAAACCCCTCTTATCAAGTCATATGGTCCTTGTCCAGCTGCTCTCTTTCATAGACCATCCCTATGGCTTCACCTTAAATCAGCTTCACCAAACTGTTTAACTTTAGACTCTTCTCTGACAACTCAGGCTAACTTCTGTTCCTTCCACTCAAGAACACCTCACTTAAATCTCTGCAGACCTTCTCCAGGCCAAAGTCAATATGCTCTATCCATGTTGTTCTGTGGTTGATTATTAATTAGCTCCTTAACGGATAATAAGTGTTCCTCCATACCTTCCTTGGTTTTAGTAGCTCTTGTCACTTCCTCACTTTCTCTACTGGATCATTTGCTGTTAATGTTACTGCATATCCTGAGGAGTTCATCACTCTTCCTTCCTTCCTTCCCTTCCCCTATTTTCTTCTAGGAGATCCCATCTGTTCACATGACTCCAATCACTGTCTTAGCTCTGCAGTCCTGTGTCTCCTCCCATCAGCTCACAGATCTCAGCCTTGATCTCTAGAATACCCTCAGGGATAGAAAAGAGAACTACCACGAGTTGGTGGTAGCTCCACAACTGAGACGTAGCTACCCTTACCTTGTCAATTCAGCATTTCCTTTTACAGCTTCCTGACCTTCACTTTATTCTCTTAAGTGCATTCAGTCAACTGCTATAAACTTCTCATCACCTTAGTTCCTTTTCTTATCTCGTGTTATCCACCCAGAAGTTAAGCAAGTGATCTAAACTAGTCACTTAGATGGCATCTATGGATGGTGAACCACGAGAAGGATGAACACCCACAAGTAGCTTTTCCACCCACCATTCATGTCACCAATTTAGACACCTCCACTGATGACAGAACAATCAGCTCAGGCTGTGCTTACCTTCCAGGGAGGTGAGACAGATCACCTCATTCTATGACCCTGTACAGTTTCCTTGACTCAGACACCAATTCAAATACAACTTCTGTGCCAGATCAGTGGCATCAGCCTGTATCATTCCATTGTTATTCTGATTCACAATTTGTCTCCTTATACAGAATGTGATATCTACATTATCCTGTTACACTCTCATCCTCTTCCTTATCGAGAACCTTAATTCATAAAGCTTAGGGAGGAATCTGACATTCTTTCTCTTTATTTGTATTTTTCTGATTGCATCCATTCATCATTTTTTGTCTGAATTTGAAACCACAGGTTAGATGAGGTTGGGATGATGTTTCTTATCAATTCTCAAAGACCCTGTCATGACAATTCTGATTTTTATTTTAGATCTCTGGGTATGTCTAGAATCAGGATAAATATTTTTAATCATTCAAGTAGCAATTTTGCTATGAAGCAGACAGCACTTATGCCCTGCTGTCACTGGGTGTCCCCTCCCCTGCCTTATATCTACATAGCTTATTTCTCTTATTCTAAGACTTCTGAAAGGCAAGAGCGAAACCCTTTGTCTGCAGAATCAACTCATGGAAGAACACTTCCAGATGTAAACAGACTGTCCTGTCATCCTCATCGCCACTTAATCCTTTGCGCATTCAGTTTGAGGTGGACAAGAAAGCAAAAAACGCCAAAGTCTATTTTCTGCCAAAAAACAAGAAAGTAATTGTTCATTTTGAGAAGCAGTGTTACATAAAAGGTCATCACTGCATATCACTACCCTGTGACTCGCTCAGAATGCACCTTCCCTTTCTAGTTCTGTCAGTGGACAGACTTGGACAATCTTTACCCCTTTTGGATGTTCAACCTGTTCTCCTCTATAATTTGACTTCCTCCTCCTTTGAGCAGGAGATTGGAAACTCCAGAGTAGAAAGTATTAAGCATGTGCAAACCACTACTGCTATGATTATTATTACAAGGGGAAAAACACCAAACAAAACCAACAAATAAAAAACAAACCCAAGAGCAATGACCATTAATGACACAGGAGAGAAATGGGTTCTTCAGCTGCACTATTGTCCTAGGTTTTGGGTGGCAGGACAGAGAAGAAAATACACAGCTTTTTAAAACACAAATATGGGACCAAAGCAACAAATAGACGGTTCTGGCTAATAAAGCTGAGGAATTACATACTGAGTATGTCAGGATGTTGAACTAGCAGGATTAATTCTGGTTTTGCCTGTGATTAGCAGCATCACCAATTAGTCACCTATTGAATCACAAAACCTCAACTTCCTCTGCCACTTTACTACCTGTTAAAGCAGAACTATCTCTCTGGTGGCAGAATATTGGGGAAGGAGGAATGAGAAATGGAAACATCAGTGAAAGCTGCCTAAAACCAAAAAGACAGAGGATTCCTCCATCCATTGGATGTTGACACCTCCATTTTCCCACAAAGAAGATAATGGTGCATCACTCTAAATTAGGTAATTGTGTCCCAAAAATCCGGACAAACATCTAAGTAGGTAATCAAAGAGTAAAAGGAAACCTGCAAAAACCAAGTGTGGCAAGTGAGCTGATGAACTGAGCCACCTGCCCAAACTGATTTACATTCATTCAGCAGTCACCACAATTGTACTAAGGGCTCATCTTCAGGTGCAAAACACTCAGATAGTGACAAGGTATTCTGGTGCAATAGGTATTTTTGAGTAACTTGATGAATTCTCCTCGTGTTTGAGTACTACCTGTTTAGCTGTATTCAAACCCTTTCAAGATGGGTTAAAGACCAATTGCTGTGAGGCCCTTGGATGGCCCTAGGAGAGACAGATTTTAACAAAACCTAGATCTTCAAAAAAAGTGAAGTTATGCTAGCTAAGAAATCATTATGGTTAATGGGGACACTGCAAAAGAGGACACTTCAGAATTAAGGGAAGGTGCTGGACAAAGAGCAACACTGGTGGTTTAAAGGAGTTTTGGAAACTAAGAGGTTGTCTGAACTGGTTACTCTTTTGTCATATATAAAACTGTGTTCCTTTACTCTGGGAAAGAATTGTCCCTCTCACGAAAGCTCCATTATTTTAGGTCAAACCTCACAAAACTTATCCTTAAGAGATTTTTTCCTCCTTCTAAACCCTCCCTGTGTCTTGTATAAGACCACAGTTATTAGACCAACGCACTAACAGATTGCCACTCGCCTACATTCTCTACACCACTCCATCAAAGCACTGAACTGGTGCATCTATGCTATTCAAAAGACATCAGCCCTCTTAATCAACCCTATAACTATTTTTATACCAACGTATCATCTTCTTCTCTGCTGTGATCTAATTTTCTGACAGCTCAAAGTATTCTCTGGGAATTTGACGCTCGTCTTGTGAGGCTCCCTTCATCCCTGCCCTAAGGTAAGGGAAGATGTCACCTTCCCTAATCCACTGGAGCCTGTCCACAACAGCTGGAGCTGCAGATCTAGACATCAACTGCCTGTAAGGCATTCTGAACTACGTGTACACACCATTCAGTCACTAATTGCAAAATCTTGTACCTAACGCAGAAGAAAGAAATTCCTGTAATGTAGAAGTAATGGGTTAAACATAGAGCATTTTTAAGTGGCTCAGCTATACAATAGAGAATAATTAGGTATCCATAATAAGGCAGTTTAATACTATACTAAATGACATTCCCCCACATAGGGTGTAATTAGTTTCATGTACTTGACACATTCATGCGAGATGTCAGACTGGAAGATTATTATTGTTTTTTTTCCTATCCAATTTTTAGTTAGAAGTAGTTTGTCTGTGCATCTTCCTGCTCATTTGAGGATTAACAGTCCATTATTTTTGGAACAAGTTTCCAGTATGACATTTCTCACATTGCTGTTAATTTTCTTTCCTGGCCCCTTTTCAGTATAGTGCATGTGGTTTTTACTATTTCATTTATTAAATCTGACATACCAAAGCACTTGCTCAGATTGGTCTGTTTGTCAATGAAGACTTTAGCAGAGATAACATTTCCAAAAGGCATGAACATCTGCAGAATGTCCTGGTCTCCAAACTCCTGGGGGAGGTGGTAAATAAAGAGGTTTGCCCCTTCTGGACCTTTAGGAAAACAAAACACAACAAAACAAAACAAAAAAAAGCAATATGAAATCAGCTCTTACAAGTGCTACATTTAATCTGTTTTTCCATAATACTTACTGAAGGTGATGGTCAGAAAGCATTTCACTTTCCAACTTCCAAGGAACAAAAGCAAGTGGATCATCAAAGGACAGCTGAAATGCAGCTCTTTAGAGCATCCTATCTTGAAAAGTGTTTACTGTGAAAAGTGTTTATTTCATTGCTCTACTACAAAAGTAGTTACATTCAGCCTCTTTCTTCAATGCATATGAGTGCTTTTCAGTTTAATTAGGGTTAGGAAAACAGGTACAAAATGTATTGCTCACTCAAAATACCCCAAGAACTGCACAAGGAGTTCTCCTTGCTGCCTCAAACACCTGCATGGGTTTGTTGGTTTAATTCCAGTTGCAGAAACTTATGGAAATGGAATGAGCTGAGCTCAGATTTGAGTATCACAGATTTAAACTCAAAGGGCGAGAAAATGTTGGAGATGGGAATAAAAAGGATGAGACAAAGCACACCTTGTGACTTGGAAGTCAGTGATGTCAAGGAGAGAAAGGCAGAATTAAATTTGCACTGACTCATTTCAAAATAAGGTTGGGTGTTTTTTTTTAAATACAAATTCCCCATAGAAATCTCTGTCTCCTGAAAGAAACTTTGTAAAGTAAGTAATTTAGAGATGTTTAAAATAAAGTAGTTGGGTTGAAATTAAAGTGGCTTTAGACTGAGCTGAGTTTGCAAACAAAGGTGCAGACTCAAAGGTGTTTGAATATTTTTCTTGCAGACAAAATTTGAGATACACATTCTTAATGTTATTGGTTAAAACATTTATCTTAGCACTAACAGGTTATTTTCACCCTGGTTGAATTTCCCCTTTCCAGTAACATACTGGAAACAAGCAATGGATGCCAGGAAGAAGATGATATATGATGTAGCCAGACGTGTGGCCTCCCCATGCAGGCTCCAGGAGAGTAAGTGGTACACAAAGAGAACAAATATTTCTGGTATAAGCACATCTACAATAACCTGATTAAGTATTCCCTTGCTTAATGGAACCTAAGTGTACCTCAGATGTGATGGCCTTGGTTTTCTGCAGAGGAAGAGGAAAGAACACATCGGATTTATGGAGCTCCTTCTAAAACAGAGCCATGAAGCTGCACCTCTCCCATGCAGAAGAACCCAGGCTGGCTACTCTCTCTCAGCCTGAAGGACAAGGTTGCAATGTTTGCCCAAAAGAAGGGGATAAATTAATAGGGAGGAAAAAAAAGCATGACTTTTTTGGGAGATGGAAAGAAAAAAAAGATTAAAAAATTGCCACCTGGAACTTTTCTTCTCAGCACAAGTAAATTTTCAGAAAATAATATTCCTTAAAATAGCAAGAAAAAACTTTATTAAACAACATTTAAAAGCATATGCACAAGGCAGTTCACTGTGCTTCGGCATTTAATATTTATATATCATTTTTTCTGGTACTTGTTTATCCTCAACCACTCAAGATTCTTCACCATTCCATCAGAAATCATGACAAGAGACAAAACGTTGTCAATATTCAGTGATGGAATTTACTTCTTTTAACTTAACCCCTCACTAACAGATACATGAGATATAACAAAAAATGCCAATTCATAATAAGAAAAAATAAGCCTAAAGTTGATTTTAATGTTTCTAAACAGAAAAAAATCAAACTGTCCTTCACTATGTATCTTGTGATGACACCAAATATTTTTCTGGTGTCAAATAGTCTATTGTCACTGAGCAAAGTGCTTGAGATGAGAGAGAAATGCAGAAAACATAAAAATAAGGAAAAATTATTTAAAAAATCCTTTCATTTTAGATAATCCAGGATGTTAGCAGCAAATGAACTAAAGACAGAGAAAATATACACTTTAACTCCCATGTGCCTATACAATAACCAGCTGGGGGAATGCCAAATTTGGCTTCCTAGGAAACACATCCCACAACAGTACAAGGTACTATTTTAAAAGAGGATTAAGAAAGATTTCTCTTAAGGATATTATACTAGGTTTATTTCCAAAACTTATCCTTGGCAAGAACAGTAGTGACAACACAGATAGAGTCTTAGAAAGCATGCAGTACTTTCCTGTCTTTCTAGAATTAAATGGAAATTAGGATGGGGAAAAAGCAATGCAAACAGAAACAACCCCCCAAAATGCCTGGGAAGTGTGCAGGGGAACGGAAGAGGGGAAAAGGGTAACCTCATTTTCCTAAACACCTTGTAATTAGTATTCATTTATTCTTAGCAATAACTTCCTGAGGTTTATTTGCTGCTAGCATGGGGAGAGGGGGCAATCACTCACTTAGTCGCTTCCCCACAAGACCCACAATTAAGCAGAGAACCACTCAAAGTGAAAACGGATCTTGTCATTAGCTCAACGCCTCAAAACTTAATCAGATTAACTCAATTACGACAGAAAATGGAAACCAGAAGAGAAAAAACACCTCCATAGAGGGATGACTTTTGTTAGCGGTGCCCTTTCATATGGTTGTTGGTAAACGTTGGTAGTTGGTAAATATAATAAAGGATGGGTGGTAAAGCATAACTTGAAAGACAAATGGTTAAAAAGTGAAATACGTTAGAGGTTAAAGAAGGCAACAAGATTACACAAGGAGAAAACTGGAAAAGCAACTCATAGATTAGACTTCTTGATGTCTTTCATTAGGACTTCACGAAGGAACGAACCCATGACACCTGTTTGTTTGGCTGAGGGGGTTTGCTGGTGTGGGCACTTACCTTCCTTCTGGCTGCCCGCGGCGCTTTGCTGCTGCAGCAAGCTCTGGCTGTACAGGGTGGGCAGCGCGGCGGCAGCGTACTGCTGGATCCCTGAGTAGGCCTGGGTGAGCGCGTCCATCGTGCCGGCCGTACCATTCGTCAAGCCTGTTGCGCCGAGTCCTCCGTTCAGGGCCGCCATACCTGAGAGCATTTGAGCAACTTTACAAAAAACCCAACAATAGAGAAAAGAAATTGCACTTGTTCATTAGTGCTTTCCGAAAGTCGTCGGTATTATACGACACTGACAACGACAGCGGCGCATGCAGCTCGGCACTTTCACCAAATGGGACTGAAAACAAAGAAACACAAGTTTGGCGCTGGGGTCACTTGAGCACAAGGGTTGCACAGTCAAACGGACTCGCATGCAGTGTGCTACTGGCAAGTACTACAGCTTGGTGCTCCTGGGAGTCTCTCTGCTCACCCTCCTCGACACTTGTGCTCCTGCCATGGGTGTCTGAGGCTGGAGAGTAGGACCTGTTTGACCTGTACCCTTGCAAGTTGGTCACTGGGGAAAGCATTCAGCAAGAAAACCCATTCTCTGACCAGGGGCTTCAGAGACAGGCCATGCCCACACCATATCAGAAGCATTTTGCTTATACAGAGTGAGCAGAGAACCCTGATTAACTGCATTTTAAAACAGCTTCTTAAAGGTTTTTTTCCAGCATCAATGATTCAATGAGAACCCTCTGTACAATTATGGGCTTTGCTCCTTAGGCTTGTGGTAGGAAGATGGACTGCGGTGCTCAGTGCTTCCACCCTCCTCCTCCAGTTACTCCACAGGAAATGAACAGCAGCACATACAGAGTGACTAAAAATGCTTCATCCAGACTAGACATCTTTCATGAAACAAACAAAAGCATTTGTTTCTAGCAATGTCTTTATTCTCATGGGAAGCTGACTTGCTTTGGTTGTTTTTTTTCTCTTTTTTTCTTAAAGCAATTTTACATCCTGATAAATAACACAGCAATTTAACTGGGATGGCTGTTAAAGGGCAAATTTAAGACAGGACTGCTAACTGTGCAGAAAATGGCATCCCTCATCTGTGCAAACGGTGTGGTCTGCATAAGGAGTTGTACTACTCTGATGTGATGGTGGGCAAACTCCTGGGCTACAGCCTGTCTCCACTGCTTCTCTTTCACAGCATGGCTCCTAAATGAGTTATGTTGAAGTTAACAGTGTCAACATTTCTTTCAGAAATTCCATAATTTTTTGCTAGAGCTACAGTCTCTTTGCAAGTTAAAAGTGTGGTAGAGTTCAGAGCCCTCTCAACTTCCACACACCCAACTTGTGTCAACCTGAGCAGTGTGTCCATCAGGAATGAGAGTCAAGCCATATTTTCTGCACAACTAGCCATCCCATGCTCCCCAGGTTCTAGGTGAACAGCTCACAAACCACTTAGAAGGCTTAATCAGGCCCCTTAAGGGACAGTCACTAGAAAAATGGGGCACCCAGAATCACCAGCAATCATTTCTTCGACATTGACTGTGTAGTGTTTTGGTTGGTGAAATGACGGGAGAAGAGATGATTGGTAAAGCCATATTAAGACCCCAAAGCCAGGAAGAGTGAAGAGAAAGAAAGGACTTAATTTCACAGCAGTAATAAGGGCTGGTGTGTAAATTGGCAAAAAGTGGAGAAATTAAGCAGAGGACATTTTACAATAAATTAACAATGAAATCTATTAGACTGGGAAACAATCCTCAAGGAAGATGGCATAAACCTTATCACACAAGCAATTTAGAGGTAGGAAGAATACTGCAGGGAATTATTCTGCATTGACAGAGGAGGATAAAGATGCTGACCCCAGTATCCTTCCACCTCTTATGAAGATTCAAAAAGTGTATTCCTATGAGTCTCCAATAATCAGGACAATTGCTCAAGTGGCACCTTTCTGGCTCCACCAGAGTCTGTGCCAATTAAGAGAATTGTACTGCATAAATTATACCTTTTGATATTACTATAATTTGTGTGACTAAACACTTGACAGAGATGTGATATTCTTAGCCTTTCCTTAATAAAATGTCTCACACTTTGAAGATTTCTTTCCTCTCTACCCCACTTCAGAGCACCACTGTATCCTGATGGGAGATACTGGCTGCCACTGCTTTGAATAAAAATCTGTCAGAGCTCAAGAGACCCAGGGATCTCTTGTATAATGGTTCCAGTTATAAAACTGTATTGGGTTTGTGTGGTAGTGGTGGGAGACACAGGGGAGGTTTCTCTGATCTGCTAGAAGCCTCCCCTATGTCCTACAGAGTCAATGCCAGCTGGCTTCAAGAAGGAGTCACCATTGGCCAGGACTGAGCTCATCAGCAACTGTGGTAGCACCTCTGGGATAACATTGTTAAAAAATGGGAAAACCCCCTGTGCAATGGCAACTGCAGCCAGAGAAGGGATATGTAAGAGAAACAGTTCTGCAGACAACGAGGTCAGTGAAAGAGGAGAGGAAGGAGGTTCTTCAGGCATCAGAGCAGAGATTTCCCTGCAGCCCATGGAGAAGATCCCAGTGAGGCCGGCTGGCCCCTTCCAGCCCATGAAGGCCCATTGTGGGGCAGAGATCTATCTGCAGGACCCCATACCAGAGCAGGTGGATGCCTGAAGGAGGCTGTGACCCTGTGGGAAGCCCATGCTCCTGGCAGGACCTGTGGACCTGTGGAGAGAGGACCACTCCTGCTCCATGCTGGAGCAGCTTTGCTGTCTGGACTTGTGACCCTGCAGGGAACCCACTGGAGCAGCCTGTTCTTGAAGGAACACCCATGGAAGAGACCCACGCTGGGGAAATTTGTGAAGAACTGCAGCCTGTGGAAAGGGACCCACGACAGGAGTCCAACCCCTGAGGAGGAAGGAGCAGCAGAGACAACATGTGGTGAACTGACCGCAGCTCCTATTCCCTGTCCTCCTGCACTACTGAGGGAGAGGAGGTGGAGAATTCAGGAATAAAGTTAAGCCTGGGAGGAAGGTACAGGTGGGGAGAAAGCTTTTTAAAGATTTGGTTTAATTTTTCATTATCTTACCCTGATTTGATTGGGAATAAATTATAATTTCTCCAAATCAGACCTGTTCTGCCCATGATGTGAGTTCATGAATGATCTCTCCCTGCCCTTATCTCAACCCATGAGCCTCTTATATTTTCTCTCCCCTGCCCAGTTCAGGAGGGGGAGTGATAGAGCAGCATTGAAAATGTTATAATATCAAGAATAATAACAATAAAAACCACTTTATAATATGCAATGTATATCATCTATTAAATACCACTACTAATAATAATTGGATTCTGAGCCTGACCTTAATCTGCTCTGATGTTTTTGTACTTAGGTTTGTGTTGCTGCTTGCATGGGTGTACACACAGGTCTGGTTAAAGTAAAGGCTCCTGATAAAGGAGCTTGTATCTCTCTTTTTATTAGTGTTGAAATAACTTGGTAACAGAGGTAGCATTAGGATAACATATCACCTTTCGTGAGCCATCAGCCTATTAGATAAACATGCTTTGTGTTGCAGTGGGCAGCATCCTCCCCCTTCCTTCTCCTACAATCAATAGCCCCTTCCCACCAAGCCATTCCTGACTAGCAAACAGCCAGCCAGCCTGGCTCATGGCACTGCTACTGCTACCACAGTCATGTGCCCAATACACCTCCCTCCTGAGCCAAACAGAACTGCAGAAACCTCTCAATGTTTATTTTCTGTTCTCCCTTTTGCATTTTTATGAAATCTACAAGGCTCAGCTGCAGTTACATATCTCTGCCATCTCTTTACTATCTCCACCAATGCACCTCAGTCTGACATTGAACTCTGGTCCCTTCTTCCCTTCTGTGAAATAACCTTTTGGAGCCTCTCATCTGTGGCCTTCTACTTTTCTAAGTTTCTCTACATAATACAGAAGCAACAATGCTTGGCAAGTCCAAAGGTCTCTCAAAGTGCCTTCCAAGCACCTTCAAATCTGTCATGAATAGTTTTATCTCCGTTTTACAGATGCAAATATGGGGACAGAAAGGCTAAGTGACTGCCCTGGGGTCACACAGAAATACTGTGCTATAGCTGTCCAGCATCCTGGCCTTTCTGAATTGCAAAGAATCTCTTCCTCCCTCTTTATTCATTTTTCTAAATTATTTTTGTTAGTTACAATTCTTAAATTTATATGCCCAAGGCAGACAGTCTAATGTTTTGCCACTGAAGGTTTTAGATGCTTTAAGAACAACTGAGGGAAGACTGGGTGAATCCCCACACTTTTGTACAACTGTTGCTAAACCCTTAGAGAAAATTAAACTTACCATACTCCACTTTGTTTAATTTTTAAGGCCTCTAGACATCTTTCTACAATGCTTCTCGCTACAATGAGAATACTATCAGTCTCCACAGCCCAGTTTCTTTTTCACGGACCCAGACAAGATCCAGAAAACAAATACAGGTCTCCTGGTGAGTTCAGCATGGAAGATACTCTCCAAGTGATTCTCACATGCAGAGCAGGACATGGCTTCAACAGAAGAACACCTCTAGAGCTTCCAACCTCTATATAAATTGATGCTCAAGCCCAGTGCTGCCTTCTGAGTAATTTTTGCACTAAGGTCTGCTTGACTTGTGCTTTGGATTTTAATTCCCCAATTAGAAGCATGTCACTCAATTCCAACTTCTCTGCACAATTACTTCAGGAACATCCATGGCCAATGAGTGTTTTTACTGGAGTGCTTGTGACCATTGCATAAGCCATGTCAGTGTGAAGCATCTTACTGAACATGAGGTTTCCTGAAGGCAAACTCCCAGGCAGGTTTGAGTGTGAACAACTGGATCAGACATGGTCACTAGGAAAAGCCCCAGACTGTCATTAAAATAGACAGGGGAGGTGGTTGCAATTTAAACAATGTTTCACTGTCATTAGTGATAATCAGTGTCACCCTTTGGAAAGAAACAGTGCCATGATGCTGAGTTGTGTTGTAGGGAAGCAGTTTCCCCTCTTTAGCTCTCTCTCATGTATGTATATACATAGACAGACATACCCACATACATTTTGTAAGTGCTATACACATGTCCATAAAAACATCACGAAGAAGATTTGTCACTGTTGGTACAAGTCCATGGAAATAATGGTGACTTAAAACAAGCTGAAATTTGGTACTAGATTGTGAATACATCATTAATACTTCAAATGACACATGTAGATAAGTTTGCACACACATGACCTCAAAATACTTTCTGAGAAAATGTAAACTCTTTGCTTGCAGCCTAGCAAGGAGTGTTCAGAGGAGTGCAACAGAAGGATTTCCACGCAAAGAGCTCACAGGTGAATCACTCTTGCTCGGTCTTGATGAAGGGAGACATTATGCTGGAGTGCTCCAGTGTGCCTGGGCTCTTAGTACTTGTGGGAGGGAAGGAATGGGATGCCATATTTAGCTTTTGATATTGTGACTTCTTATAAACCAAGTAAAGCACAATGACTTTTTACCAGGAAAGGACATTAAATGATCTCTTAGTCATGACAGGGTAGCTCTCATAGTAGGAGAGCTCATGAGAGGAGAGGAGGTAAGTTAGCTTTTCATGCATGCCATTTCCAGTGGCTTGCTTTGAGACTAATGTAATATTAAGAGAGGAAACTAACATCAGCCATTTTGGGACCTAATACTTACTTTTCTTCAGTTGTTCTTGAGTTGTATTTACAAAGAGGTTGTTTGTGTGAAATACACATGTCCTTGCCAGAAGCAAGTCCTGTTTTACACAAGACCCCATGCAACCACTCAACATTGCTACATGGACATCCATAAGCCCCCTTCCTTCCCAGCTCCCAACAACGACAACCAGAGATCACAGAACAAAAAGATTGGGTGAGCAGCCAAGTCACAGTGACAGAAAGGACATCATGCAGAGCATCAGAGTGAGCAAGAGATACTGAGGAGGACATCCATTCCTGAGGGTACATTATGACAGGTCAAGGACTGGCAATGACCAAATAGATTCCTTGCATTGCAAAAGGAAATGCAAGGAGCAACCAGCAGCTAAAGAAAAAGAAGGGAGGGAGGAAATGCAGCTGGGCAAATCTCTTCCATTGCAGGCAAAGGTGAAGTCATCATAGCAGAAACAATAAAAAAAATAAATCCTTCTTCTTCAGGAAAATCTTGAGCAGAGCTAAGAACAAGGAAGAATGTTCTAAGAACTACTGACATCTGCTTAGCTGGAGATGCCAGGGTTTGTGTAAGATGTCATAGGATAGATGTGCATGCTCTGGCACTACAGGTGACTGTATCATTCTCTCATACTTGCCAATTGAAAGCCAAAGACTTGCCTTCATTTTTCAAAGCATGCTGCTCTCAAGTCAATTTGGTAATTCCTACAGGTATTTTAAAGGATTGCCTCCGAGGCAAACGTCTTTCTTAGCACTACATTTCTGAGTGACGATTTGCACATTGGGGTGATACACCTGTTGTCAGACTCCCTCAATGAAAACGGAGTCTCTCCTATAACCTAGATAACCCAAATCCCTGGTGACATTTCTTTTACTTTCCATATGTACTGCAAGAAAAGAATTCTTTGTGCAGGGACTCAAGGAACTTCACTTTGCAGAGCAAACTATGTGAAACTAAAAGGCTCCAGAACTTCATATGTACCGTGAATGAAACTGGATCAACTTGACCTCCTTATTTGGTGTATAGATTAAAAATCATATTATCACTCTACAATTGATAGTTTTTGTGGCATGATTACTGGGGAAGGCTGTCCACCACAGCAATAAATACTCACTGTTTACGGTACCTGCTAGTGCATTAATATTATTCAGTCCAACAGTGGCTCCAGCCAGTCCTTGGAGAGTACCCAGAGAAGTCAAAGAATTCATGGCCGCACCAGCTGTGGAATTAGCAGTTGATGCAGCCACTGAAAGGAAAAAGCAAGGCAAAATTAAGGCCATATTTTATTTACTTAGTTGATCACAGAACAGCTTACAATAATGTGGAGCACAACAACAGGGCTACTTGCAAGGAGAAGACAAAAAGAAAATGAGACCAATAGATCGACCTTGTTCAAGATATTATGATTGTTCATGGAAAGTGTTGGTGAGCCTAGAACTGCAAATACTAGACCACAAAATTCAGCATTGTGCTATGTGCAAACATAATACTGAAACAGTAAGTATGGGATCAGTCACTTTCTCAAAAGTTTGTCAATCAACCTAACATCCCAAGCTGATCAGCTAACCAGGCCGCTGGGAGTTTGACACGTTTCAGAGTCCATCATTACAAAAACAAGAATTAATCACAGTAATTTTGTCAGACAACAGCTTACTGTTCTGGGCCCGAAGTGTTCTAAGGGAAAAATTAATTATTCTAAGTGAGACACTATGCTCTAGGTCTCTGTATGAACTCCATTTAAAGACCTGAAGTTTAGAAAAAGAAGAATGACCAGGCAAATACAAAATGTAACTACTATCCATGACCTCTGTACATAGCTAGTCATGTATGTGCACCCCAATCATACTACATGTATTCCCAAAAGCTCTACCAGAGGGGAGAAGGTGAAGAAAATGTCCTTGCTGCTACAGTGTCAAGGGACTAATGAAGGTGGGTGGGATGAATCCAACTAAGTTACTTGTTTAGGAAGAGAAATATATTCATTCCCTTGTCACAGGGAAGTAATAAAGTACCTTAGAAAGAATCATCATTTAGTATAGGTCCGATGAACTAGAAATATCTGTCTCTCTCTCACACAAGGGCCTTGAATAACCAGTGTAAATTAAACACTTAACTTACAGGTAGGTAAAGTTACACCAGATGAATCACACTCATAAAAGTTGCAGAAACAATTAGGTTTTCAGCTTGTCTCCTGAGCCCTACTTTAGTACATCAATCATAAAAACCTACTTTCTTTTCTGTTCTGTTCTGAAGTTGCATTATCTTCTGAAAAGCAAACATTTAAAGTCAGGGTTTTGTTGATGATGTACCAGAGGAACATCATGTCTACACCACACTTATTCATTACCTAGTTATGAAATAGTTAAAACCACTTTTATCGTGATGCTCTTTTTGGCTGTCAAACACATCAGATTACTCAGTGAACCCTCAAAAAAGTGAAGTCTCTAGAGCTGACAGGATCCAGTAAGGAAAGTAGGAGGCAACCTTTTCACTCTGTGGGTAAAAACCTTGAAGCTCTAACCTACAAATAACCCACCTTTACAACCTTAAAACCCATCAAAGACAAGTCTTCACACTCGTGAGCCGTCAAAGTACAACGAACATTCTTGGTGTGAGTAAAGAGATTTCCAGACTCTGTTATGCATTCCTTCTCTCCTAGCATCTGCAATGTTAACTTAGATAATTTTATACACTGCAGATAGAAGCAGCTTTGATTATTCAATCTCTCCCACAAAGCAATAAGAATCTAATAATGTCTTTGATTAAAAAAGTAATAAAAATCAAGTAGAAACCCTTCACTTTTGTTAGAAAATGTGGGCACCAACAGAGAAGAGAGGAAAAAACCCAAAGTGAATTCCCTGTGACCAGCACTGCTCTGTGTTTCTGATAATGTTCATTAGCAAACAACTTAAAAGAAGCACATAAACCTCAAATCTGAAGGATCTGCTTGGTTTTGAATGGACTACATTTTGACTGGACTAAATGTTCTGTTTCAGAGCATTATTACCATTTTCTCTGGAGAAAACACATATATTTAAGCAATGAGAGAAATGGAGGCTAGGAAACTGCTTGAAAATGACATTAAAGCTAGGGGAAAAATCTCCTTTGAATGAGCCATACACTTATGGATTGTCAACACATCTGCTGGAGAACACAAAAAGAGCTCTGCTTGAATCCTTCCCTCTTGTGCAGCCCACAGTGCACTGTGGTGGCTCTTATCACAGTCTGACTGCCCAAACACATGCTACAGGGATGGTCAGTATCTGGGGCCAACATATCTTTTCTTCTTTTATTTGCATTAAGTTTATTCCATCAGACAAATACAGAGCAGGTGCCTCAGTGCTTCTTCCATTTGAAGCTTCAATGCAGATTATCTAGTTTGCCTAAATAATGACTTGGCACATAGTCACTGTAAAACACTAGCTGGAGCACTGAAGCACCTCAGAAATCAGTGTTTTGTTGTTGTGGCTATTTCTTCTGCTTAGCAGTGATCTGCCTCACAGATCCAGCGGAACAATGCTTTTTCTCCTTTGGCTTATTATTTCTTTGAGAAGAAAATAAATGAACAAACTGTGTGGCTTCTATTATCTTATTGAACAGGGGGTGAAGAGAAAGGTAGGAAGCACCTTTTGTCAGGGTGCTTGGACAGATCCAGCACCTTCTGCATGAGGCTTCCTGAGAGTCTGCACTAGTTGACTGAAGATTAACACAGTGCTGAGCTAAAAGACTATCATAAAGGGCCATAGAAGGTCCAAGATGTTAAGAGAGGTGAAAATTTCTCACAAAATGCTGTATAAAACCAATAGATGAAGCAATGATATGCCTTGTCCCCTCAAATATTAAAGGGAGATGAAACAAAAGTTAAAAGATCCTACAAGATGTGTGAAGGCTTAGACCAGCCGAGTGTTTTACCTCATGTGCTCCCAGAATAAGTTGAAATCCATCTAGAGACAAGGACTATGCTTATCCTGTCCTTTGCCCTTTTCTCATTCCTTTCAACTAAAACAACGTAGCATATACTGAACCAAAGGGGCAGAAGAAAAATCACATTCCTTGTGGTAAGAGCAGATGACTACACTACTTTGGGGGAACTTGTATAACTCTCTTGTGTCAGCAAAACTCTTGGGCTCCATGAGTACTCAGAGTAATGGCAAAGGAAGAATAATTCACTGTTGGAACACTGTTATTCAATATTTACGTCTTTTAGTTGTCCAGATAACAAAAATAGATTGGACACCTATAGAATTTATAAATTGGTTTCTACCAGGTTCCCCTGCCACCAAATAAATGAAAACATTTCACAATTCCCTCCATCCTCCAAGCCAGAACATTGCTGCTCTGAGTTGAATCACTTCAGAGTGCTGCTTCATAAACAGTAGGCATCTGCCTCCAGGAACTTAGCTTGATGTACAGAGCTGTAGTGCCACCAGGAATCACCCTCTATGCTACTGGTGCACACACACTTGGTGCAACAGTGAGAAAAATGAAACAGGAAAAAAAAGCAAATGACTTGGACTTCTGGTGTCACTCAGTATGGCACACTCTGTATCCACAACATTCTGTGTATTGTTTATCTCTTTACTGGGAATTTGACCTTTCCTTCCTTAAAACCTACACATGCCAGGCCCCTGACACATTTCTGGGGCAGTATTAAGTCAGCTAATCTGAAGCTAAAGGGAGAGATTGAGCAGACTGGAGATCCAGCTTGCTGGCTGAATATACAACACTTGGTGAAGAACAGAGATTCTTTTCACCAGCTGCACTGATCATAACCTCACAATCTTAAGCCTTGGATAAACAAGAGAACATGATAGATAAGATTTTTGCCTACTCAAAAGAACTTTTTCCTCTCTAACATCAGACATTGGAATAAGCCGATGATTTTCTCAAAAGGCTGTTGCTTGGAGTCTATCAGCAGGAGTTATTGGGTTGAATCCTTTGGCTGTTGCTGCAAGACTTCTGACAAGAAGTCATCATATTCCCCCATGACCTTAAAAATCTATTAACAAGTGAAAATAATATCAACAGCATTGTCTAAAGAGGTCAGTTTAGACTTGTAAGAGTGAAGAGTTGCCCAGTAACCTGTACAAAAATCTGCTCTCTTTCCTGCAGGTACAGCACATGGGGGTCACCTGTTGCCTTCTCCATCCAGGCCACATACAGAGACCTTACAGAACACTTTAGCATCTCCAGCCATGAAAGGTGAGAAGGCTAAAAATGTTTATTTTACCGTTAGAGACTTTACTGCTTCTTTTTCACTGACGCCTCTATTCCCACATTTCTCTGTCAGTCTCACAGTCTTCCTCCTTCTTCTTCCAAACTCAACTCCACTTTAACAAACATCTAGAAAACTTCAAAATCTAGAAATGATATTTTTAAGAAGCTGTGAGGTGGAGCAGACCAGGGCTGCAGCCTTTGCCCAACACACCCCCCAAATCAATCCCCACCCTAACCACTTGATCTTGCTTTGCTTCCTCCATTTAATTGATGAAATTTTTGCTAACAGCTTCATTATGAATAAAGAGATTTGGCCTTTGGTTAATATATTCTTTAACAGAGCTCTCTTTGTTACAGAGAACACATTTTCATTTGGAGTGGTTGCTCTACACAATACAGATATTTAACTAGTAAAGTTGCATTCATAGAGATTTTTAAGGCTGGAAAGAGTTGGCATTTTCAACTATTCTCCTCAAAATATTTTTTTTCTGCCTGTACAAGGTTACAACACCTTTTAGGTCAGAGAATTTTTTAAACAGAAATCTAAACTAGCAATGAGTCATTTCCCTTTTAATTTAAATAACATTTCAACACAATTCCTAAAAACTATGCCAACTTAGAAAAACAACTGGTATTAGCATAGAAACTTTTGGCCATTCTTTTGGCTCGCTTATGTCAATAGAGTCATGATGATTTACATCATCTGGATTTACCTCAGCTGGAAAACTAGGTTCAGGATAACAGCATCTAGGAAAGGCAATGATGTGTAAATATTTCTTTGGCTTTGCTGTGCACACTGTGGATGGAATTAATTTCCCCACCTTTGGCAGCCTCATTGTTAGTTTAAGCTAGTCTAGTCAAAACTATTCTTTTTGATGTCTCTGAGATTAAAAGAGCTCTAACACCCTACCTTTAGATTTCCACCTCCAACTCAGACACCCTACCTTTAGATTTCTGTCTCAGGCTGGGATGAATTGCCCTAAAGAGCATGCAGATGAGCTCAACTACCAGATGCTATTGATGCCTAGC